CATAATATTTGCATTCAATACTCCCAATTGATAGCGATACTAACAAAATGAAAAATAAAATTGAATATGTAACTGATTATTTAAAAAATTTATAAACATAAAACTTAGCTTAAAACAATACACTTGTGGGATTGGTCACTATATTGAAACTTTGAAAAGTCCTATCAATAATTAAAAAAATGATATTATAACATGTTTTTGTAAACTTCATATGCAATAAATTTATAAACATAAACTCACATCTCAATAATATCCTTGGTTTGTTTTGTGGCGCTCCATAGAGGTCATTATCATAGGAGGGAAGAACAAGAAGAGTCTAATGATAACTACAAAATACAAATCGTGTTAATTATAATTTTATATATATAATCTGTATATGTCCCCAATACAATAGTATATTTACCTTTTAATGTAAGGTGCAAAATATATATTTTTTCTTTGTCTGGGTCATTGTAGTCATCATGTAGACTGACCTAGCTTCCAGACTATTTCATGTTTCCTGCACTTTTTTGGGGACACATGAAGCCATATGTGCCCTCATTTACTTTCTCCGTGCAGATGCTGCTAAAGTTTTTATAGTTCAAATAAGAAAAGAGTTAGGACATGTATAAGTATAACATAACATGAGAAAATGATATCATAACTTATAACATGGCTAGCTACATGAACACTGTATCCAGCTATTTAAAGTTGAGGAACTCAACTAGGTCCTCCTTGTCGATGGTGAAGTCATATGTTAGCTCTAAACTCACAATCCCTAGTGGCATTTTGAAACTAAGTAGTTGCTCCATTTCTTGCACCATATATGAAATGAAGCAATGCTAAACTTCTAAATTTAATTGCAACGTCGGCATCAAGGAGATTGAGGACAGGAACTTCGTTTTTTGTCGCCTTTTTCATTATTATCTTCTTTGTTGTTGCTACTAGTTTTTCAATAAGTTTTTTTGGACACAAAGTGAAACTTCTTTTAGATTGGGCCAATAATCTAACCTTATCGATAAGATTGGGAACTGGTGGATCATCTTGGCCATTACGGAGTTTATCCACCATCACTCTTACTTGATCATTTGGATTTTTTTTTTTTGGATTGTTGTGCCTTGAATACTTGACCATCAGCGACAAGGCGGCCCTGATGAACTATCTATCCACTTTCACGACCACCTTCCAAGTGTCCGCAGATAGAGCAATCTCGTCGAGCCCATCACATTGCAAGGTCATGTCAAGTTATAGTATAGAGCAACAAGAGATTCTAACATCGGAACCGCGGAGTGAAATGTCTGTGGAAGTGACGAGTGCAAGTGCTATATAGCAGTGGAAAGTGAGGAGGATGAAGAAAATAGGCTAAAGTATACTTTTAGTCTTTTAATTTTACATAAGGTTTTATTTTGATCTCTTAACTTTAAAAAGTATATTTTTAGTCTTTTAACCCTAAAATTACTAGTCTTAAATAATAATTTTTTACAACAATCATGGTTGTTTTGAATATTAAACTTAATATGTTAGTATTTAATAATGTTTTATCAGCATTCAGGAGCTTAATATTATTATTTTTTTTATTAACAGTTTTAGGATTAGAGATTAAAGATTTACTTTTTAAAGTTAAGAGACCAAAATAAAATTTTGCATAAGTTAAAGGATTAAAGGCTTTAGCCAGAAAATAAATGCAAAACGTTTCCGCACGTAACTACATTTGAGGAAGCAGTTGGATAGCTTGCAGCCACAGCACATGGTGGTCCCTGCTTGCCAACTCACGTGTGATTGAGTCAACGAAACATTAGGCCGAACATATGGAGAGGAAGCACGGAGTCCAACACTCTTGAGCATCAAATGCCCAATGAAGCCACTAATGTTCACATGAACAGTAAAGTGTGAGGGAAGCTGCTTAGTGAAGGTGAGGCTGTTTTATCCAAATACTATAAATAATAAAAGTAATTCCCAAATATTACACCATGGGAACTATTTACAAGTATGCTGCATTTCACTCTGAACCTATCTTTTTAAAGTAAGAAAGTGGAACTCTAAGCTTCTTCTCTTTTATTTTTGATGAATTTAATTTGCTTCGGCAACCCTCCTACTTTTTGAATCTTGGAGCAAATTACAATTAATTTCCCCATCCTTTCATATAAGTGTAATTTTTAAAAATAATTACCACATTTAAAAGAAAAATAAATCTCTAGATAAATGACTATCCATTCACTGAAATGATAATCAATTCCCGCACCCCGTCAAGAAATCATCCGCTACTTCTAGTATACCGTAATTTCTATTTTCCTATTTTTTCATTTTTATAATTATTTATATCTTTTCTGTTTTTCAGATTTATCCCTTCCCTATATATCATATCATATCTATTATATTGAGATATATGTATAGATATAGATAAATATATAGATATATGATTTATCCTTTCCTTTGGCAATACACACACACACCCACATCCCTTGTTGAGTGATCCAAATTTTCTCACAGAACAAAACCAATCTTTCAATTAAAGAGGCTTCTAAGGCACAATTAACGAGACTTCTAACGCACGGGTAAAGCATACAGTTTTGGTAAAGCTATTTTAAGATCTTTCGTATATAATGTTTATTCAATTTCTTTTTTGTTTCTTAACCATAACCAAACAATTCATATATACAAAACGTAATACACGACAACATAGCGCCTAGGAAGATGAATATTAAAAGAGCTGAATCATGAACAATATAAACAAGTTCTTATATCATCATCGATATATTTTGGAACTTTCTGTATGAAAAGAACAAATCATACTGGCCAATTAATTGAGCTGTCTGATTTAAACTAGAATGAATATGAAAAATTGTTTATTCCATATGTAGCAAGACTCATCAAGATCTGCTGATTCAAACTTATATTATATGCATTCCTTTTGTAAATTTGATGTTTTAGTTCGGTCCTGTGTTCCTGTTTACTTTCTCACTCTCTAAAACTTCTTCCTTAAGAAGCTATCAAGTTACTATATTTTGATTTAAATATTAAATGTTATTATGATCATATATATGTGCATTATTAGTTTTTATATTTTTCTTTGTTATTTTTTGTATATTTTTGACATCTATATTATAATTTTTTCTGGTTCAGCTAGATTGCAATTCCAATAACTATGGTTGATTCACCACCGCTTAAAATGATTGAAACCACTACTTGTGAGGAAAATTCTGACAGCATAGCTTGTGGCTTGCCAACGGAGGCATTGCAGCACATTATTCAAAAGCTGAATCTCAATCACTCACTGACCTTTGTCACCTTAAACTGACTTCCAAAGAGCTGCTCAATATAACAAATGACGACCATGTATACAAGCATGCATGCTTCTTTGGATTCCAAGAAATTCGACAGGAAAATTCATTCTTAAGTCATTGCAGATCAAGCGGGACTCAGCTTTACAAGAATCATTGACTTGGAGCTTTACGAGAAAGGGTCGGATATGGCATGTATGGTTGCCCAAAATGGACACACTAGATTAATGTATGCCTTTGCCATGATTGTTCTAATGAGCACTGACACAACAAGAATTTTAAGGACACAAGAACTTGAGGTAGCTTTGGGATATTTGAGGTTTTAAAGGAATAAAGAATGTTTCGTCCTTAGTTATAAGAACAATGTTGCAGAATTTGTTCGCTATTTGAGGTGGAATAATATGCATGCTAGTCTTGTCACTACAAAAAAAAAAAAGAATTTTCAGTGATGACTTTTTGCAGTGACTTTTTTTGTCGCCGCTGAAAGTTGACCTTTTGGCGGCAATAAAAATATCGCCATTGAAAGTTGTTACCTTCTGTGATGACTTTATTGTGTCGCCGTTGAAAGGTTCAACCTTTGGCGGTGACAAATGAAGGGTCAACTTTCAGCGGTGACTAAATATGTCGCCACTGAAAGTTGTCTCCTTTTGCGGCGACTTTATTGTGTCGGCGCTGAAAGTTGATACTTTCAGCGGCGACAACACATTGTCATCGCTGAAAGTTTTTTGGGGTTTATATTTATGTTCTTAAAAAAATTATAATACATTTATATTATAACTTTTTTACTGATGTAACTAACTTTGATAACTAATATTTTTTCCTGTATTATTGTGATATAGAGAGACTTAGGGCAAATTAATGTGGTATTTGAGAGAGAAAGGGAGAGGGATGGAGTGTGTAGTATGTATAAAATAGATATATTTCAATTATATGTGTAAGAGATAGAATTAAAAAGATACTGTATATGGAGGAGTGACGCGGAAGCATGCATGAGTGGGATGCATGTTTGTGAGGTGAGGAAAGAGGAGAAAGTGGTGAGGGTGCAAGGTAGAGGTAATATAACTGAAAGGGGATAGGATGTGTGTGTGTGTGAGAAGGGTATTATAGTTAAGTTTATGAGGGAAAGATGATTATAATTAAATTAGTTTGGGTATATTTGCATAACATAATAATCACTTTGACAATGAACATCTATATGAGAGGGGTAAGAAATAATATAATTGAAGAAGATAATATAATTAGTTAAACTATGTGTGAGAGAGATAGTTAATAAAGTCATGTATATAGTTAATTAATTAAATAGTAATACCATTAATTTTTTTTTGTTAAAGTGTGATTAATTAAAATTTACTAAAACACATGTACCTGCATATTATATATACATATATGATGTCAAATGGAATACTAATGGAAGGATGATCAAACTTATAATTTCTTTTGCTAAGCATTGTCAATCATCAAATGTAGACACCTCTCGAAGGAAAATTCAAACATTGTTTTGTCATATTATGAAAGATTAGCCCTTACAGTTAGACCCAACTCTTGTTGCTATACTTATTTATAATTATTATAATAAATTTAACACTATTAAATCAATAAAACAAATAAAACTAATGCTGATCTTGATACGGCATTCATTATCCCCCATATTCATTCGTTATACAGATAAGGCATCATTAGGAAAAACTTGCCAATACACTTGGTAGGAGAGACAAAACTTGGTGGGCCAATTCAATATCGTTGGATGTACCCAATTGAAAGGTAACAAACTAAGTATATTATAAATTTGATTTACAATTTGTCATTCAAGATCATTCAAAGCTAATCAATTTTTTTTTACTAAAGGTATTTGCGAACACTCAAGTCATATGTTCGTAACAAGGCTCGACCTAAAGGATCAATTGCAGAAGTATATTTGGTAGATGAAAGCCTTACATTTTGCTCACGATATTTGAATGACATTCCTACAAAATTTAACATGTCATATAGGAATGATGACACCAATGTTGAAATCAACTATGAGCTTTCAATATTCAAGAAAAATGGCGAAATTAGGGGACATTTTGAGTCAATCCCTCTTCCCCATGAAGAGTATTGTCAAGTGAGGATGTATGTGCTCCAAAACTATGAAGAAGTTTGGCCATTTATAAAGTATGTTAACCTTACTTTGAGATAAAATATACTCAACAACTTCACCTAAAGACCTCCCATAAAATGCATAAAGACTTTTGAGTCAATCCCTCTTTCCATGAAGGTTGGCTTGTTATTGTTAAAACTAATACACGTGACTTGTTTAATATGCCAATTGAGAATGATGATGTTAGTGGCGTCAATGTTTCTATGGTTGATGAAGAGGCTTATCAACAATTAGTAGTTGACTTAAATATTTACAATGCAAGTCCTATACAACCTGATATTTTCATTGACGACAATGATAGTGATACTGAAGAAGAAACTGGAACAGAAGATGGAGTAGGATATGAATCAGAAGATAGTGATGTAAATGATAGTGACTTAGAAAACTCAATTGAATGAATATTATCTTTACAAATGGTAGCTTTTACAAGTATGCAAATTAATTCTTTACAATTAAATTTTTTTTAAAAACCTGTTTGCTATGAAATAATATAATTTGTATATATTGTTGTAGGATATGTCCAGGCTCAATAGAGGACGAGGTAGAGAAGGTCTTTCCTATGGATCAAAGAGTCACACAAGTAGTGAAGGTACTTGCTCTACACATCAAACAAGACATGGCATTTCATCTCGATCACTTCAATTGCAACTTAAGGAAATGCCTGCCAACTCTCCTACTCAACATAGCAATGCAGGTAAATTACCTTTAATTAATACTAACAATTTATCCATCACATTTAATATTTAATTATTTTAATCTTTTGACATAAATGATAGGCTCTTCTTGCATGGTTAACAAGGGTAGAAGAGTTTACAAATCCCTTCAAGTAGACTTGAGGACCAAATATGGAGCAAAGATTAAAGTAAACGTTTCAGATTCTATGACAAGAGCAGTGGGAGATGATGCGAGAAGCTTTGCTAACTATTGTGGTTTGATTGTCAGGACCACAATATCTTTTCAGGATGGTGTTGAGTGGAAGGATCTTTACTCCAAGTATGGTGATGATATGATTTTGAAAGTGAAGGTACTTTTTATTTCAAATATTTATATTTATCTCATTTTATTTATGTTTTCATATTAAGTATTTATATTTGTGTTTGTTTTAAGAAAAATTTGAACCTGCTGACATAGGAAATGAAGAGAAGTTTGAAAAAATGATAATCACTACCATGCAAAATGCCTTTAGAAATTGGAAGACGAATTTACATACTCATTATAAGAAATATGATACTAATGATGAGAGGCTGGCTAACACACCTCAAATTGTTAGCTCTCAGGATTGGGAGTTGTTAATGACATATTTTTAGTCTGACAAGTTCAAGGTATATTACCATCCCTTTAAGTAAATCATATTTTCACTTTAACCATTACATCCTGTTTACTCACCAAATTTGTTGTAGCAAAAAAGTACAAGAAACATTCAAAACCAAGAAAAACAAGTGACTAAGTATACTTGTGGCCCTTGATCATTTGGAGAGGTTGAATTCTAGATAGTAAGTTCAATCCATCTTCACTTTATTTTATGTTTTTTATTTCCTTTTATTTTAAAATATATTATTATTTGTTGCTTTGTATATTATATCTTGTAGAGGGAACCCACAAGTGGACAGCCTGCTGCCCCCGATCAGGTGTGGGAGGTAACACATACTAGAAAGGCTGCAGATGGACAATTAGTGTGGGCGGATCCACATTCTAGACAAATTTACGTATGTTTTATATATTTTTTGCTGATTTCATTTCATTTTCATTTTATTAATTTCATACTTTAATTTCATAGGGTCGCATGCAAGATCTTATTCAACAACAATCATCAGAGTTAGAGAGTGATGCTCAAATAAATTCTGATGAGATATTGTTTGCTGTTCTCAGTGAGAGGTCAGGGTATGTGAGAGGAAAAGGCTATGGAGCAGAGCCTTTAAGGAAGAGAGCTCATACTCAATCTACTGATAAGTCATTTGTGGAGAACATGAACCACCAATTTCAAGAAGAGTTTAATAGGAGATTTGATGAGGAACGAGAAAAGATGGAAGCAAATCTTGCATTAGAGCGTGCAAAGATGGAAGCAGAGCATATGCAACTTGAGCAAAGGATGGAAGTAGAGAGTGTGCAACTTGAGAAAAAGATGGAAGCAGAGCGTTCAAAATTCAAGCAAAAAATGGAACAAATGATGGAGCAGAGAATACAAGCTCAATTGACTGCCTTGCTACAATGGATGCAATCAGATTCTATATCTACTCCTCTTTCGACTAGCCTATAAACTTAGTTTTCTTTTCTTGTCAATGAACTTATCTTTTTATAGGACAATTGTTTTTATGTTTTTTTACTTCCTTTACAAGTATTAAACTATGTTGATGGTTTTATATAATTGTGTAAAGACTATGTTAACTAATTTATTAGTTTCCAATGGTATAACTAATGCAGGTATTGATTTTCATATTTTGCGACTTTCAATAATTTCATTTATCCACACAATAGTGTAAAATAATAATAATATTAGTTGCTGCTGAATGTAGAAGATAGCATCAGTAGCGACCCAAAATATCGCCACAGAAGAGAGAATCAGTGGCAACTATAGAAGTTGTCGCAGATACTATATTCTGCGGCGACAATATTGTCGCCACTGAATATAGCATCAGTGGTGACATTAGGTCGCCGCAAAATAGAGCATCAACGGCGATAAAGAAAGTCACCACAGATACTATATATTCTGTGGCAACAATATTGTCACCACTGAATGTAGCATAATGTCGCCGCAAAATAGAGCATCAGCCACAACAAAGAAAGTCACCGCTAATACTATATTCTATAGCGACAATATTGTCGCCACTTAATATAGCAAGGTCGCCGCAGAATAGAGCATCAGCGGCGACTCTATTTGTTGCCGCCAAATAGATGCCTTCTACTACGACATGGGTTGTCAAGCTAACCACAGAAACTTCAGCAGCGACAATTTGTTGCTGCTGAAAGTTTACCTTTTGCGACGACAACAAAAAGTCACCGCAGATACCTTTAGCGATAGCCACTAGGGCCGCGTCCTTGCGGCGACAAAAAGTCGCCGGCAGCAACTTCTTGACTGTCAGTGAAAGCTGATTTTTTGTAGTGTGTGATGACAGTAAGAGATCATTTGTATAAAAATGTTCCATGCACAAATACATGGGGACTCAGAATTGGAAGTTGGTGCTTCATGACTAAAGACGACAATGACAATGATCCAGACATGTGTGAAAATTGCAAATGGCACCACGAGATTGAAGAATTTTGCAATATGATATAAATTTTATTTTATGTGTGTTGCTTTCGTATAGGAGACAAAATTTAACATTTTTGTTCGTTCTGATTTTCACATTTGTTATGTTATGTGTTGCATTTTGTTCTAAAAATTTTATATTTATAATATGATGGTTATAGGATTCATATATTAAATCTAAGTACTGGAAAACATACACCAACTATGTAGGTTGAATTTTTGACGGTATGGTTATTTTGTTTTAGAAAATATATCTAAACCTTTTCATTACTGTCAGAAATATTAAATATAAACAAGAAACGCATACTGGGTTGGATTTATTTTATTTTTGGATCTGGGTTATTTCTTAGGAGCTCGACCAGCTCACACAAAATTTAGACTACTAGAGTCTAAACTTGAGTAGCACAGTAGGGCTAAGGAGAGGAGAGAGAATAGGAAAAATCAACCATTGGGAGTGAGTTAAAATGGAGGCCTCTATTTATATATTTTGCTAGGAGTATTTTGGGAAGACAAAATATCTACTAAGTTTGTTAGTTTGAATTTGAATTTGAATATCCACATATCTCTTAATTGATAAGTTTATGAATTTGAATTTAAATCCAGAATCAATTTTAATTAATTTTAAATATATATTTCTAATATATATTTAATCTATACAATATAAATTAATTTAACTTATATCCTAATCAATTGGATTTGATTTAAGATTTTTGACTAAGTCAAAATATTATAATCTTGTTTGGATATTTGATTGGAATATTTTTTTAATATCTAATCAAATAGTCTGGCCTATCAAGAGCAGAGCCAAGCCCAAAAATCCAAGAATTACTAAAGTAATTGTGAACACTAGCTATTTTCCTTTTATGTATAATTTTTAATTAGCAAGTTGATTATTTTCCCTAATTTGGGATCAGCCACGTATGACAAGTAACTTTAATTTATTAAAGTTAAATCACTCGTAAAATTTGACTGATTCCAATGAGCAACCAAACTAATTAAGGGTCTATTTGGATTGGCAGTAAAAAAAAAAAACTTATTATATTCAATTTGACTTTTAAAAAATTTAAATTAGGTAAAAATCAGATTGGGTAATATAATTTATATTTAGATTGAATTTTGTAAATAAATCAGTTTGTAAAAGTGGAGTTGTTTAGATTATTATTGGAAAAGTAACTTAGTTTTAAAATGACAAAAAAGAATATGAATTTTATTAAATAATATATATAATTGATTTCCCTTCATATGCTATACTCTCAAGTTACATTTCCCCATACATTTTCTTTTATCCTTTTTCTAATTTATTGTAAGGGATACTATCTCGTCCTATTTACAAAGCACTTTACACATATCAATAAAAACATTAAATTGTATTAATTCTTCTTTAAAATATAATAATTTTTTTAACTTTATACCTGTTTAATATATATACTTCAAAACATACTAAAAATTTACACTACAAAAAAAGGAGATTAGTGACGAAATTTAGCAATAGTATTTTATTCTGTCACTAATCCATCGCTAATCCCTCACAAATTCTGTCACTAAAATTAGTGACAGAATTTAATGATGGAAAATTTTCGTCGCTAAATTAGTGATAGAGTAGTGACGAAATTCTATTTCATCACTAAATTAGCCACAGATTAGTGACTAAATATTATTCCGTCACTAAGTTAGCGACGAATTAGTGATAAAATTTTATTCCGTCACTAAATTTTGTAACAAGTCTGACACTAATTTTGTTTTAAATGATTAGTAATGGAAATTCGTGACAAACAAATTCTGTTACTAATTTCCGTCACTAACTCCCATTTTGTGACAGAAATTAGTGGGGAATTTTTTTGTCACTGATTTCCATCACAATTCCATCACTAATCCATCACAAAAAATATAATATAAATATATATAATAATTACTTTTATAAACCTATTATTAAAATAAAAATATAATATATCATAATTTTTAAATAATATATTATATAAAATTAAGAATACAAATATTATAGAAGAAGATAAAAATAAAAATATATAATATATTTATTATTTAGTTAAATATTTGAATAAAAATATAAATTACTAGAAATTTTTTAGTAAAATATAAAAAAATTAAATTTAAATAAATAATAATATATTAAATTATATAGCATATATTAAATTATGTATATAATATTTACTATATATATTTGTATTTTTTATTAGAAATATTATATATATTTATTTTTGCATAAAAATTTTATAGGTGCTTCTGAGCTTAACTAGCAAATGCTTCAACATGCATGCAGAAGGTCTCTAGTTCGAACCAACACATATAGATGATGTGGACGAAGTGATGACGGGCAACATGGGAGAGAGGAGTAATAAATTCCTTCAGGTGGAACCCACCTTTTTTTTTAACTTCTCTCTCTGGCTTTGAAGACTTCTCATCAACTCTAATTTTTTCTCTCCCCACGATTGAAAGGTCATGAGTAGCAAATTTTTGCCATGACTTATTGTAGCTTTTGATGTAAAAGCACAATTTTCTTGTCGCTAATACAAACAATCAAATTTCATCAATAGCATAGTTTGTTATTTGCACCGCACCATTACCCACCAAAATGCTCTTACAAATAGGCTCTAAGTCAACTGCTTTGAACTTAAAAAAAAAAAACAAACAAACAAAAATT